CAACTCCAGCATGACTTGCTACACAGCTGACAGTCATAAGAACATGATCGTAAGACGAGCTGGGCTAGATCAGGCCAACAGCCCATCGAGTCCAGCATCCTGTTCTTACAGTTGCTAACCAGATGCCCGTGAGAAGCTTGTAAAGCTGGACATGGGTACAACAAGTTCATTTGCTGGCTGGCTGACAAGGTTGCAGGGCCAGGCATTGGTGCTGCAAACTTAGTGGTACCTCGGGTTAAGAACTTAATTCGTTCCGGAGGTCCATTCTTAACCTGAAACTGTTCTTAACCTGAAGCACCACTTTAGCTAATGGGGCCTCCTGTTGCCACCGCGCCACCGGAGCATGATTTCTGTTCTCATCCTGAAGCAAAGTTCTTAACCCGAGGTACTATTTCTGGGTTAGCGGAGTCTGTAACCTGAAGCTTCTGTAACCCGAGGTACCACTGTATTTTAATGACCAGAATAGAGTGAAAGTCATGGCCAGGGCCGGATTTAGGTTTGATGAGGCCCTAAGCTACTGAAGGTAATGGGGCCCTTTATATGTCTACCTGTCCTTTGTCAACAACAAATTCTCTCTGGTTTTGTGTGTGTGTGCGTGTGTGCGTGTGTGCGCTGAATATATGTTATATGGTAATTTAGCAGAGTCTGTAACCTGAAGTGTATGTAACCCGAGGTACCACTGTACTATAATCTTTCTGCTCTTGATTTTAGCAAAGAATGATTGTAGCCCTGAATGACCACAATCCTGCAGGCTCCCCTAGGTTAATGTCAAGGGCTCATAATGGCCTCCCCCCTCCTCCGAGTCTTCAAAATTGAAGAACCTGGGTTCCATCTCTGTCCCTACTTCATGACTGGCTTTCTACCACCATGTCGCAGTATGTAGTAATTAAGACTGGGGGATTTTGGTGTGTAAATTTGGCTCCCTGCAGCAAAGAATGGGATTTTCCATGGAAAATATGTTTGCTGTTCCAGATCTGCTGATATTTGGGTAGCAGGATGAAAAGGAGAAGGCACAGTCTATGCAGTACAGATACAGCTATGCTGCACTTGTACAAAGGGTTCTGGTAGGTTGCATAGGCCATATACTGCTAGAGTCCCCTGAATGAGGCAGATCACCCCTTCTAGTGGAATGTGGGTGAAACTACAAAGGATAGAAGCAAGAAATCAGCAAGCATGTTGGTAGTAGATGTTCACATATTACTACATGAATAATCTGAAAAGCCGTCTCTGGCTGGTAAAAAAAAAATCTACCTTGTTTTAGGGGCATACTTGAAACAATACACTTTCTTCACTGAGATACTAGTGGGGGTTAGGCTCATCTTAATTATTCTCTTCCACCCTCCCCCATGCATCGTACAAAACCTGCAGTTACAGGCTTTCAAGAGCTCTTGAAGAGAAGCACATAATATAATATTTTAAAGATTTCAAAGTAGCATACAAAATGAATGAAACTAATTCACAATACCTATAAATATAACTTATAACCAACAAATAAACGTAACAAAATACTACATGGCCAGAGTCTGGGGATAAAATGTATTGAGATGAAACATGTCCTGTTGTGTTTTTCAAACAAAAACTGGTTTAGGGAAGCAGACTCCTTCTGACATCATAGCCTTGGTTTGGTTTTGAGACATTTGACTACCCTGAGTTGTATTGGAATATAGCTTAGGGTGGAGAAACACTCCCCCAAGTCGTGTGTGTGTGTGTGTGTGTGTGTGTGTGTTTTAATGGGCCTGGATGAAGTTAAAAAACAGTTCCTTCCAGCGTGAAGATTCAGGTTTCAGTTCTTAAAACACACACACACAATTTGATCTTATTTTCCATGCACACTGAACTCTGTGATTAATCCAAGGTTTATCCATCTGATCTTGAAGCTATGGTTACTGTTTACATACATTTCTGAATAAGTGGTGCCATGCAAAGTCAGCCTTTGAGGTCACTCAGGTTCTATCAAGTAGGGGAGCTTCTTGAAAAAGCAAACTCCAATGCTTTCGTGTCATTAATCTCTCAGCGGAGTGTGTACTAGGCATGAATAAACCTGCCAATTTAAGTTTCTCTGTTTCTATTTCTCATTTTTCCAATCTTAAATTCAATTTAAATTCATTTCTGAATCAGCTTGCAATTTAAAAAAAAAAAAATCATCAGGGTTTTAGTGCAAATTTCTTCTAATGCATACATTTCTGTAAAGCAATTCCCCCAAATATAATGCATTTCTGTTTCTTCATGAATATGTGCATTTTTATACATGCATTACCCCAGTATATACATTTTTGTACACATTACTTGGCAGGACAGCTGCACTGAAAAAAAATTCAGAGATGTATGTATTTCAAAGGATGACTGTATTTCAGACTGTGTATTGTTTTGGAAAGTGTTAGGTAGCTTAAATGCAAATTGATTCAATTCTCCCCAGTACCACCATCCCTAGTGTGCACATCATTCTGAAGAATCAATCCTGACTCCAGTTAAACTCCAAAGCTTGTTGATTTAATCCCAGATGCAAGGATCAATGGAACCCCTTGATCAAAAAAGCTCTAATAGAATATTCTGGAAGTAAGCAGAGGAAGAAAATGGCTACATCCTCAAACGTTCCTGCAAACACTTCAGTGGGAAAAAACTGCACCTGAAGGCGTATACCCCACACTTGACATCCCAGAAGAGCAATCAGATCCTGTTACATTTGCCAAGAAGGTACAGCCTTCCCAGATATGTGGGAGAGAATGTTCATTCCCATATATTAATGAATTTAACAAAACCTCCCTAAAAACAATCCATTTCCAAATGTTAAGGAAGGCAAATTGCAAAAATTAAATATTCAAGCTAGTTTAACTAAAATCTGGCTGCAGCCAGTCTGGGCAGCAAAATCCATTTTGAAGGAGGAAAGCTGAATTTTAAACCTAAGGTCTAGCATTCCCCTGAACTCTCAACAGCCCTCAGACTCCCTCTGCTGTCCTGTGCCTCATTTTTCTCAAACCCATCCTACCGGCAGCACTCTTTATGGAGGGAGAGTTGCCTTCTGTATGAAAGCTATTTTATTCATGCAGCTGAAACCCTCCTTAGTTTTTGGAGAGTTTTCTGACACAAAACAGCAATGTGTTTCTTAAAAGCAATGTGTTGTTTTTTGTGTGCGTGTGTTTTAAAGAGGTCTTTACTCCACATTTCTGCCATTGCATTTTAAACAGATGATTGTATTTTTCAGCTGCAGACTTTCCCCTTGTGGCCCTTTGCTTCTTTCCTGCTCTGATTTCAAACACGCTCCACTCTCTGTTTTTTATTTTAAAGACTCACCTTTCCCTGCATCCCCCAAACCTTCAGCTGATGCTGCAGCATTAATCAACAGCTGCTGCAGTTTCTATGTACTAACCTGTCACATGAGGATATATGCCTAAACTGCTGTCCCCTCGCTGCCCCATTAAGTCAGGCTCCAAAAGGCAAATGTTGGCTTTTCCCAGGGCATGATTTATTAAGAGGAGACCATCAGCAGCTCCCACTTTCACCCCTGTTCAAACGTCTCCCTTGCTTACTGCTTATCATTCATAGAAAAAGGGTCTGTGGGAACTCAAGAGCAGTACTGACGTGGTGCAAACTTGGATCCTACCACAAGCCAGAGCAAATTCAAGGCATGTGTAACGTGCATTTAACCTTCATCAGTTATTCCATTAAAAGGGAATTACTAAAGCCATCTTTCAGTTACCAAAACCCATTCAAGAGATTCCAATAATTTTAGGAGGCATTTCACACACACACACACACACACACAAACACTTTTCTGGGTGTGTGTAGTCTCTGAATCGACAGCTTCAATTCAGGTCCCCTCCTGCATATGCTACAACTCTTACATGACTTAAATAAAAGGAACTACATTTATAAGCTATGCTAGAATTCGCACTTAGAAAAAGAAAAGAGGCTAATGGCAGTTATAGCTTCCATAACCAATCTCACAGAGAGAAATCACACACATGGAGATTAAGGTCAACACCTTTTGCTAAGGGTCCACATGTACACCTAGATCCTTCTGATACAATTGGTCTTTCTGATGGGGGTTGTCCATGTTTGTGAATATTAAGAAAAGCCCTGATGGATCAGATGAAAGTCCAGCATCCTGTCCTCACAGTGGCCACCCAGATGCCAATAGCAAACCCACAAACAAGAAATGAGGGCTATAGTTCTCTTCCTGCTTGCCAGTTTCCTGCAGGGATCTGGGTGGCAACTGTGAGAACAGGATACTAGACTAGATGGACCATTGGTCTAATCCAGTAGGCCCTTCTTATTCCCTCAGGGCGCCTAGACTAGTTGAGCCTTTGTTCCAGTTCAGGTCCAATGGCTCTACTTACGTTCTTCTAGATAATTTCCTGCTCTTCTTGAGATGCGTGACTAGAAGTATTTCAATTGTGGCTGCATCAATATTGATATAAAGGCATCACAATATTGACTACTCACTATCTGGCCATGTTAGTTTCAAGTTGCTAGGCAATTGTCAAGAATGTGCAAATTGTAGACAATGTGAATGCTGTCCGAAATAGTTCTGAGTGGTGTTTCTTTATTCTTTTTATTATTGTTATTGTTATTTTATTAGCAAGTAAGCCAAGAATCACTAAAGTTACATGCTGGGCATTTGCCATTAAAAGTCTGAACCAGCTGCTCAGTTTAGCAACCTTTACATGTCTCATCTTATATCAGCACAGCTGGGCACTAACAAACTAGAAAGCAAGACAGTAATTGCATGAAAGTGTGGGCAGCTCACCTGCAAACAAACAGAAGCACAACACAGAGTTTCCCCACTTTATTACAAAGTTTGCCTACTTCTGCTCTAAAACTACCATGCAGGAAAACCACTGGGCACCCAAAGACCCATGTCTGAACTAAAGTATAGGGTAAGGCAAACTTGAACCTACCATTTTTTCTGCTTAGCCTTACAGATTTTTAACAACAAAAGCTTTAAAAATGTGGAAAGTCTACTGCTGGAGGAGAAGCAAAACAAAGTCAACTAAAAGGGGAGAGCAATAGCTCTGTGGAAGAACATCTGTTTCACATGCAGAGGATCCCAGGTTCAATCCCTGCCAACTCTAAGGAGGGCAGCCTCCCTGTCTGAAACTGCTGAAAGAGCTGCTGGTGGACAAGACTGAACCAGGTGGACCAGTGGTCTGTCTCTATGTAAGGGAGCTTTCAGTGGTTCTAAGACAATTAAGAAATAACTTTGGTGTTACTGAATATCGCCCACCCTCCATGTCCTAGGAACAAGCCTTCAGTTCTGGCTGTAGCTAAGTGCATTCAGTCACCACAAAGACAATTCTCCCAAGGATGGTTTGGAAACTCAAGCTTATGTGCTTTCTCCTACCATTTTAGTACATAGGTTCCCTCTTCTGGCAAACTATGGTTAGAACCATGTCTCCAAACCACAGTTTGAAACCAGGGTGCAAATAGAGGCTTGGAACGCAAATAGTGTCTTTGGGAAAGTTTTTTTTTTTTTTAAGGACTGTGGCAGGGAGACAAAGATTTCAACTCCTTGTCTCCACCCCCACAACAGTCTGGAGGCTACCCAGTTTTCCCTGTGACTACTATTTACATAATGAAGTGTGTGTGTTAATTGCATTCACATAATCAATACCACATGAGTTTCTGTCCTTCGACCAACAGAAAAGAGTCAGTGGGGAGGTCAGACATTCCCAGTTGGTGGTTCCTGTATCTTGGATTTCCCCACAGCCCAGTGGTCAACATGAGAGGTGCTATGTGCTGTTAGTGGCCACCCACTTCTGCACCGTGTGTGTCTATGAAGTTACCATGATGTCGTCATGACATTCCTGGAGTCACCCCATGGTGATTGTTACCTTCACTGACGATATGGGGCTATCATCAATAAGCATCCCTTGGGTGGGTGGCAACAGAGTTGCAACAGACTTTGTTAGAGGGCTTTTCAATATCACTGTCCTGCTTTGTGTTCTGCTTTGCTTCAGTGAACGCACCTGATTGTCACCAAATTATGGTGGTGTCGAGCTTATGTAGCAGCCTCAAGCAATAGCAGAACCCTAGGAAGCAGCTTGTGAGTTACTATGCTAAATACCTTCCTGGAATGAAACAGAGATAAATTGTACTGCTTTAATTCACAAAGCCATGATATGTGTGCTGGAAGAAATCAGGCTTCTTATCTCATTCCTGTTCTTTAAGCAATCATGCACCAGAGCTTTTGAAGACTATTGAGATTATTGTACAATAATCCTTGCAGAGGGGGAGGGATAAAAAGGCAGTGGGAAGCTTATCTATGCAGGCAACTGATAAGCAAATCCATGCTCACACCTCACATATTAAGAAGCAGCCTCCCTACCCCAGCAAGACACCATAGATAATATATGTGCTAGATACCAAGCAACATACAAGGATTAAACTGACATGTGGCAAAAGCAATGGGAACCAGACGATTTAACCAGGAAATTCCAAGTTCAGACATTGAGAATTGTTTAGTTGTTTAGTCGTGTCCGACTCTTCGTGACCCCATGGACCAGAGCACGCCAGGCACTCCTGTCTTCCACTGCCTCCCACAGTTTGGGCAAACTCATGTTTGTAGCTTCGAGAACACTGTCCAACCATCTCGTCCTCTGTCGTCCCCTTCTTCTTGTGCCCTCAATCTTTCCCAACATCAGGGTCTTTTCCATTGAGAATAATGGAAAACAAAGAGGGATCTTCCTGCAACCCTCTCTTCAATCTATAAAATCAACGGAACATCCTAGCACTCACATATCATGCTAGTTAGTTTTATTCACTGGAATATGGAGTAGAAGGAGTGGTGGAAACAGAACTATGTTTTTCTGTAGATATTAACATCAACAAGCAGTTGGGATGCTCTTACACTAATTGCTTTCTATACATGGAGCAGAAAAAAGAATGGACTCTATTAGGGATGAGAAAAAAGAAAAGAAAAGAGTAAAGCTGGGGTTTCCAATTGTCTCAAATGATCAGGCTCCAGAAGCCAGATGGAAACATCTACAGAGTCTGGAAGGCAGTTAGGGGATCCCTTCTGTTTTGTGGAGAGACTGGCTCTGCAATGCTCTATCCCAAACTAGGGTGGAATCTACACACAAATAAAAAATGCTGTGAAAATGCTTTTTTAAAAAACGTTTTGAAAAATACATTGACTTTTGCATAGCTCACTGTCTCCATCTAGTGTCACATTTGTATATTAAACTTTACAGCACATTTAAAACATTTTATTTGCAGCTGTATAGCTGAGTCCCAGGACTGCCTATTACAACCTATTTGCCAGGTCCCTTAAGCTTAACCTCATCTCCCCCACAGGACCCAAAGAGGTAGAGAAGGATCAAGAGTTCACTTAAAGGCAGTATAGCCATTATACAACCATTTTTCTCACTTGTGGAAATAACACATGGCCCTAGGCAGATTGTCACTGTTATCAGCCCAAACTACTTGCATGCCACCCACGGCAGCTTTGCATATCATTCAGGAGCAGAATGCTAGATGAAAACCCATGTATCTCATGGAAATGCTCACTTGGAAACAGGTTAAACCCCAAATTGTGAAGCATGCCTTGGCTCAAAAGATACGCTTCAGGTCTGCTACCCAACCCTTAAATACTTGCTGTCATCACCAGTACAGTGGTACCTCGGGTTACAAACGCTTCAGGTTACATACGCTTCAGGTTACAGACTCCGCTAACCCAGAAATAGTGCTTCAGGTTAAGAACTTTGCTTCAGGATGAGAACAGAAATTGTGCTCCGGCGGCAGCAGCAGCAGCAGGAGGCCCCATTAGCTAAAGTGGTGCTTCAGGTTAAGAACAGTTTCAGGTTAAGAACGGACCTCCGTAACGAATTAAGTACTTAACCCGAGGTACCACTGTAGTGTACAGTGGTACCTCGGTTTAAGAACTTAATTCGTTACGGAGGTCCGTTCTTAACCTGAAGCACCACTTTAGCTAATGGGGCCTCCCGCTGCCACCATGCCGCCAGAGCACGATTTCTGTTCTCATCCTGAAGCAAAGTTCTTAACCCGAGGTGCTATTTCTGGATTAGTGGAGTCTGTAACCTGAAGCGTCTGTAACCTGAAGCATATTTAACCTGAGGTACCACTGTAATATTTTGCTTTTCTGATCTGATGCTACACTTCATCCTAAAAACATGATAGGAACATAGGAACGTTATACAGAGTCAAACCATTGGGTCCATTCCATTTCAGTATTGTCTACAATGACTGGCAGTGACTCCCCAGGATTTCAGATAGGGAGTTTCTTCCAGCATTGAACCTGGGAACTTCTGCATGCAAGGAATATGCTCTCCCACTGAGCTACATCCTTTCCTAAGCCTTTATTCCCCAATACATGTTTTGGCCTTGGGTATTATCAACATAACAAGAACCTTCAATGAAATATATATGTTTTTCCCAAAAACACACAAGTACTATATATGTGTATGAAAATATGGGAAAGCTCTTCATTTTCCCCTTTCCAAAGAACAGTACCACAAAATGAGGAGAGCAGTGGAGGGAGAGGAGGAAGGAAAGCACTCTTTTGCCAACTATTTAGTCTCTCCAGATTTAAATTTTTTTTAACAGGGTAACAAATTAAAATCAGGAAAGGCACATGTTACTTTGATTCCCAGAAGGGAGGAAAACTGAATCCAGTTTGGTGGAAAATGTTTTAGATCAGACAGCTGTATCATCTAAGAACAAAAACCAGTCCTTCTCCTACCCACTCAGCCTTTCCTCCTCAACTTCACCAAAACTGTCTCAAGTCACCCCTTTCTTAACATCTTGCAAATCAAAACCAGACAAGAGCTTACATTTGGAAACAAACACCTTGGCTTATATGGAAAGGGATGAAGGATGCTTTCTTGGGGAGTATCAGCCTCCAGAAAATCCAAGCATCTTGCTAAATTATACTGAAAAGCCTCGATGGGCCTTCTGAGCTCATCGAGGGTTGTTATCTTTTTCCTAGTCTTGAAGTATGTGAGAAAAGCGAGGAAGATCTACCACCACCCTCAGATGATTTTGTCTCTCCCCCCCCCCCGCTTTAATTATGAACCTAAAGTGGCTATAAGGACTGAGAGACAGGAGTGCAGTCAGGACCAAAGTCCTTTCCTGTGTAAGCATTTCAAGTGTGCCATATTATGTTTAAAATGCATTGCACCACACGAGTTGTCCCATTTGCATGCAATGTTAGCACATCCAGTGCACCCACCTCAGCAACTGGTCATGCAAATTCTATAAGCAAGTGGGCCACCCCATGTGGTCAGTTCATTCATACATCATATAGCACATGATGAACCCTTATGTGGGCAACCACTTTACCAGTGACTGAAAACCCTGTTGATTTCAGTCGTAAGCTTGAATAGTAGACCCTTCCACACAGGAACTTTCTGCACTTCTTAGTGTTTTCGTGTGGAAAATAAATTCTCGCCCTCCCCCCACCCCCAAATTAGAAGGTATGAAGGTCGCTTGGGATCCCATGCACCAACATTGCTCCTTCCTTGGGCAGATTGCATTGCCCACCCTCAACCCATGACCCCCACTCTCAAGGCAGCAACGTGGGTGTCCAGTGCTGTTGTTTACTTATGGAAATCAGTTGTGCTGTTGCAGTGCAATTGAGTCCGGTACTGGGGGGCAGGGACCTCTTCTCATGGATCCTGTGGAACTGCAGTGCTATCAAGACCAAGCCACATGTGGTATTAATCGTACGAATTGAGTTAATGGAGTGAATTCACATTTCTGTTGTATAAAAAGCAGCCAAAGGAAAAACAACTTGAGCAGCTTAGGAGGAGGTGGGTTTTTTTTTGGGGGGGGGGGGATTGTGAATCGGTGGAGACCTCCCTTGAAATTAGTGCTGCTGCACCAGAGTTTGCATTCCACTTTTTTTTATTATTATTCATTTTGGCATTTCAAGGGAAGGTTAGGCAAAAGATTGGGTTAATCATCAGGAAAGCAAAATCTCAGGATTTTCAGGTGGGGATAAGATTACCTTTAAACAATTTCACTACTACTTCAAGTGGAGGCCAGGCTTCCCCCAGCAGCCTGGGATGCATTCCCTTCTAATTTGGGGCTACCGAATTTTCTAGCGGGCATCTTGCCCTTGAAGGTAGTAACACAAAACTCTCCTTTAGGGTGTCTCTCTCAGTTTACATTACAAAGGACTTGAACCAAACAAGCTATGTGCTGTATGCTGTTTACGACCACAGATTTGCTTAGTTGCATGACTCAGTCTTGAAGTAGCATTCATTGCAATAAAATATAAAACCTCCTTCTGCAAAAGGGAAATATCCCGGATAGGCTATCATTATTTACAGAAGATCACCGTCATTTAAAACAAGGTGGGGGGGGGAATCCTCTTGGTCTATTATTCCCCTCAGGTGTTATCACATCTTCCCCTTTTCTAACCCCACAATTTTGGCCCAAGCAAAATGTTATAAAAGATCCTGTGCTCTTTTAATATGCAAGTAAATTTGCCAAGGGTCTCATGCATCCGGAGGAGATACCATAAATCACACAAATTTGTCTTATGTACCCCCTATCTTGGCTTCCCAGCATTTGCTATTAAATATGGGAAGTCTGGGCCACTTCCTAGACTTGGTGACTAGGTGCTTTGAGGCTCACTGGTTGCCCTAAGAGCAGCCAATATGTAGAACGAGCGAGAGATCAGTGCATTGAGAGACCCAAGGCTGAGAATGAGGATTTATTGTGGAAGGAACTTTAACTATTGTTACTGGAAATGAAAGGTAAGTACTGACAGGGAACTGGGTGCCTCAAGCTCTTCTACTATTAAGGTTTGAACGTTCTACAGCACTGCTTTCCAAACTTCCAGCAGCTGAGGCAAAGGGGAAAACCCAGCAACACACTAGCATGATCAATCTGTCAACATAAGCATTTCTGCTTGACGGACAGAATGATATACCCTCTCCTCTTCCCGCATGCTATTGTGAGAGATTCTCCAGACACCACTGCCCCAGCCAATGGTTGGGTGTAGGAGGGAGGAGTCCTGTGCTAGTAGGACTTGTTGAACTTACCCACACTAGTTCAGCTATTTAGTTCAGACCTGCCTTTCCCCCCTGAACTAAGGCATCCAAAATGGCTTCCTTTTAGGCACTGCAAGAGTAAGAACAGAATGTCCTTAGAGGAGACCCACCCACCCCAGATATCTTTGTGGATTATTGATACGAACAGTCACCTCAGTTGAAAAGAGACATATCCAGAATATGGACTCATGCAGAAATGCAGTTGGCAACCTCCTAGAAAGGTGGAAAACTTTTGCTGCAACTCTCCACACAGGGAATGTTACAGTGATTGAATGACCCTCCACCACAGTTACGTTTAGTCTGGAGAAGTGAAAAATGATGGTGTCATTCTTTTAATACCCAAAGGGTCATGAGACAAGGCAAATACTTGTCTTCTGCTGCTGCAGAGGGTAGAACTAGAACTAATGTGCACGTGTTAAGGATGATCAGAGTGTATTGATGGTAAGAGCAGTTCAACAATGGAACCAATTGCCTGGAGGGCTAGTGAGGTGTACCTGGCTTAGAGGTCTTCAAGCAAAAGCTGGATAACCATCTGTCAGGGGATGCAATAACTCTGGATTGCCTCCATTGAACCCCAGGGAGTTGGACTAGATTGCCTATAAGGCCCACATCCAATTTATCCACAGTAAAGGCAGATTCCATGTTCTGGCCTTGCTACCTTCCAACCCATAAAGAGTTGAAGCAGGCAACCTTTTCTTATGGGAGAGTGTTTTGGACTCAGAAGAATGTTTCATTATGTCATTCCTTTCTCTCAGTTTTGAGAGTCACTGGTAGACACTCTTCAGCCACTTTGATGCTTGCAGTCCAGTCCCAAGTCTGTATGCTCATTGAGACTTGCTTCGTAACAAGTCTGCTTACAATTACAGTCCTTGGCCTTGTCTGTGTAAATACAACAAGTAGTGCAAATGTCCCCCCACCAGCCAGAAAACCACAGTGAGTGCTGTAAAACTGGTTTGCCTAAATGTTGTGGTCATTGTAATTGCACATTGTAAGCTACACACAGACATATCTTTAGAATTAACATTACTTTTTGTGATTACATGAACATCAGTAGCAGACAGCATGGTGGGACAGTGGCGGTATTATTATTATTATTATTATTATTAGAATTTATATCCTCCCCAAGGAGCCCAGGGTGGCAATCAGATACACAGCCATCAACAAAAACATTTAGTAAAATCAGTCTAAGAACAAGTACAATTAAAAACATCAAAAAGTAGTTACAGATAAAAACAAAACACAATGAGATCAAACAGGAGGCTTTTAATTTTCTCTTCAGTCCCTTTCTTGTTTCTTTGTTATTCGGTATTTGCTATTGTCTCTAGTTTACTATTTATTATTTACTCTATTGACTATTGCCCGACCTCCAGTCAGTCACTTCTGCTTTATTGAAAGGTAGAAAGGGAGGGGCTATGTGGCAGTGAGGTTGGCATGGTGCAAACACACCAACGGAAGCACCAGATTGGTTCTGCTGGTGCATTTTCACCATGCCAACCTCACTAGCACATCACCCCCTCCTCTTCCTCCCTGGAAGCTGCAGCAACGTTACTGACTGGAGGTCAGGTGAGTGTCACCGTCCTACCTCACCACCTTATACTGATGAGTATGTTCCTGGAAGCCACTCCAGTGCCTTTGTTAGGGAGTTGCAATCCTGTACCCACTGTACTTGGCAGTGGGCCCAGCTGAACTCAATGGAATTCACTTCCAAGTAGGCGTGCCTAGGATTACGCTGTAAATCATCCTTGGGGAAAGGGTTAATATATTACTTTCTCCCAGAAGAGTTGCATTCCAAGGGCCAGGGTGTGTCTCAGCCATACCAGTGTGTCTTTTATCAGAGGCAGCAACATGTATTAATCCTTCTCTTAAGACATGAGTGAGTTATACGTGGCATGGAAAAGAGCCCTGAGGCAAGGATTTTTGTTTTGTTTTGCTTTCCAGTTCCTACCACAGAAAGAGTACAGTTCTGGCCTTTCCCGCCACCAGGCAACTGGATTTACAAAGATATTATTTCCTTTGTTTAGCTTTTCGGTTTCTGGCCTGAGCCAAGCTCATAGGGGTCTTGCCATGCTCTCCTTTACTTCTCATGCCTTCCGCTGCGTAGCTTATTATAATCACAGGCCTTCCTGAATAAAATAATGAGAGTGGACAATCCTCCACTGCCGAGATATACAGCTTTGGGTGCAGCCATTGCAAGATGTGGCAACATATTGCAATTCCACTTAACAACTGCAACTTTCATTTCTTTATACCATTTTTCTAAGCCAAATAACCGGTCTGAGGGGGAAATGCACCAAGTAGCCTATTTATTGAAGCAACCTTTTAAAATATAATCCCTTGGCAGGTGTTTAATGTTCACTGCAGACAGATCTCCTCAATGCAAACGGAACAGCGGGATGCAACATTCCAAATTCTGCTCATAGACTAAGTCAGATGATCTAAGTCACGGGGAACCAACATGATGTACTTCAGATGTTGCTGGACTACAACATTTATCGTCCCTGACCTTTGACCACCTTTCTGAGGCCAATGGGAAGTTGCAGCCCAACAACATCTGGTGCTCACCACGGTGGCCACCCCAATCTGTGTGATACCAGTAGTTAGAAGCAGTAAAGAGCACCAAAAAGACAAAACAAAGCACGCCACAACTTTGTACTCATATTTGCTATGTTTTTGTTCTAGGACTAAACACTTTTGATTATAAAACATCATGGATGGAGGGCATCTGAACATCTTAAAGAGCCTGATGTGTACTCCATAGATCTCTAACTAAAAAGGTAAGAACATAAAGCAAGCCCTGATGGATCAGCTGAAGGCCCATCTAGTCCAGCATCCTGTTCTCACAGTCACAAAGCAGATGTCCACAGAAGCTGACAAGGAGTGTTCATCTCCCTCTTTAATTCCCACAGTCCATAAGTGGTAATGGTTTCAATGCACTCTGTCTGGCCTGAGCTTCTACCAACACCTCAAGCAACAGAATACCCCAGACCTAGAAGGATTTTGTACCTTGACAATAACTCTTCAGCTAACAGAGAGAGTGTGGAAATGGCTTCAGACCCAACCCCAAGCATAGAGCCATGGAAACATTGTGGTGTAATCAACTGCGGCAAGTATTGTGCCTGGAAAGGGCAAACAGTAAGTGTGTATGAGCATTTTGTGAGAATTAAACAACACACATGGGCAAAAACAGTCATACAGGTCATACCAACTTGATTGGCTCTCCACTGGAAGGAAGGATGCTGGGTGAATGGACAGAAAAGACCTGTGTGGTTGGCTCCAACTGGTGTTTAGATGAAGGGAGCCCTCCATGGATTAGTTTTGCTCAACCCCATCAGATCAAAGTAGCAAACAACCACCCCTTTATTTCCTCTCCTCTTTCTCTAATATTCTTTGCCTCAGCTCTTTTGCATAAGTCATGTAGAACAACTGCACTGCAAGCTCCTTGTATGTACTTTCTGCTTTTGTGGGCCGCATGCAGCACTCAAGACTGAGTTGGTTGCTTAAGGGGTGGGTGGTCCTGCTTTTGAACCGGGTATTGGAAAGGGTAACTTTCTGGGTCCGTTCTGACACCACCAGGCATTTTGTGGTCTTCTCAGAGCCAGATAGGCAGCAATGAGAAGGCAACAGAGGAGAGGTGCTTCCTCCACTGCTGCCTGGGTGGCAGCCTAAGTCTTCCTTCTGTTTACAGAGATAATATGATTCCCATGAGCTGTCAGTCCTGGGCAGTTTCCCAGCACTAAAGTTATGCCAAAGCCATCCTACCCTACATTCATCTGTCCATTAATCCTCCCTGCCTTGACTTGCAACTCACAGAGGGTTTCCCCCCTCTTTCTGTAATTCATGCAGTTGCTGTACATGTCCAGGCACTTGCAACTCAAGTCCTCAAGCCATTCAGTTGCTGAGGGGGTTTGAGGCAACTTGTACTCATTTCCTTTGTTCACCTTGTCATATGAAAATAGATGAAATCTTTTCCCCAGCGCCTTTGATCACCCCAGAGATAACAGCCTGTGGAAGAAACCTGCTACCCACCTGGTTTTGAAAATTTTGCTAATGTGATATTAGAAGAGCAAATTCCTACTACAGCTGAGACAATGACTTCAGGTAATGAGGCCTCCAGTCCGAATCAACAAATCTGCCTAGTGAATATGTGACAATATTCAGGTTCCCCTTTGCAGCCACTACTCAATTTTTGTCCCCTGTGAGCCCTTGATAACTTCATCCACGTAATTGTGTTCCTCCCCAGTCATGGTCTGGCAGACCATGAATGGACTTCATGCTGATGTGCTTCCTCCTCAACATACTCTGGCTCCCTTCTTCACATTCTGATTGTCACTAGCAACAGTTTGCTATAATGTCTTAATCAGGTATTATTTAGGATTCTGCCATCCATAGCTTGCTTCCGAATGAGAATTTGAATCAATGGTTTGAACAGGTTTTCCAGTTACAGTTTTTATGCAAACTATGGGTTGCAGTGACCACATATTACTAATCCTGAAGTAAGGGCCGGCCCACCCATGAAGCAAAGTGAAGCAGCCACCTCAGGTGGTGAAAACCCCAGAGCGGTGTTACTGTGGGTAGCTTACCTGCCCCTGCTGTGGCTCATGGCATGTTCTCATGGAGATCCATGAGATCTTGCATGATTTCAACGAGACTTTGGTGGGGGCAGAGTACCTTCCTGGTTCGCCTCAGGTGGTAAAATGAAATGGGCCACCCTATTTTCAAGGGGGGGGGGAGGAAATTAGGGTTATTTACCAGAGCTGGCAAGAATTTCTGATGTGTGCCACAGCACTGCCCTGCCCCCTCTCAATTTCCTTGGTTTCCAGTCCAAACAAAAATCCCATTCTCCATAGGAATCCTGTTCTCCAGTACAATACTTCTGACTTAGAGGCATCTTATATTTTCACAGCATCAAGCTGGTTTGGACACAGACACATTGATGCTCAGACTAAAGACTTACCAATAGTTGCTTTTTAGAGAGAGAGAGAGAGAGAGAGAAACTAAGTTTGTACATTGTTGCCTATAGTAACCACATTTGTGGTTAATTATCAAAGAGGCCTACAATATTTTTTTTGAAGTGCTACAAAAACTTGCCACGTTTGAACAGAAATGATAGCAGAACAACAGGCCCTCCTGTTTCAGTTCCCTGAAAAAAAATTATATACAACTTAAGCAGAAGACTATAGAAATTCTGGTATTCAGGCATGGATCCAAGAGACCCCACACACTCAGTGTTGACATACTAGCTAAGGTCCTCCAAAATGACACTTTCCATTGTCCTCAAACTTTTATCAGTCATGGTTTAAATAATCTTTTTTATCATTCCCCCCCTCTCAGATATCATGTGTATATCTGCTAGTTAAACTATTTGGCAGCTTAGAGCAGGCATCCCCAAACTTTGCTCTCCAGATGTTTTGGGAGTACAATTCCCATCATCCCTGACCACTGGTCCTGTTAGCTAGGGATGCTGGGAGCTGTAGTCCCAAAACATCTGGAGGGACAAATTTGGGGATGCCTGACCTAGAGTGTGAGTATCTGGGGAGTATTCTACCACATCTATTTCTTATTAAATTTACTAGAACAGAGTCACATTAATTTGCCTTAAGCTGATTTTAAGGTCATCTAAACTGGTGGCCATCACCATGTGTTCTGGGAGCGAATTCCATAGTTTATCTAGGTGCTGTGTGAATAAGTACTTTCTTTTGTCTGTGTCCTCAATCTCCCACCATTCTGTTTAATTTGACAACTTCTCAATATTATAAAAGTGGGGAGAGGAACTGTTACAGAGAGATCTCTTTGCAGTAAGGGGTAGAAGCAATGATATGAACAGTAAAGATAATCAAGATGCATTTGCAAGAGCTGAGATGCTGAGTCAGACTTAGAAACTGAAATGGTCCTGATCAGCATTAAAGCATGCAACAGGTCAGCTTCAAGTAATGACATGCTGCCAACCATGCCTACATGTTCACCCATGGAGTGGGAGCGGGATCTTTACCAGGAAATTAATCATTGAATGACTGAATAGGAAAGACCACCCACATGAAGACATTCCAAGCAGCAGCATTTCCCAATGATAAAAGTCCCTGGCAGCTTTAAGTAGCTTAAAAGTTGGCAGCCTTAAATAGCTGGGATACAGTCAGTGTTACACAGCTGGATTACCTCAGTCGTCGTAGCATCTTTCTCATCTATGCATGGTGTGCTATACTTAAATTATGCATGTTTATTATGAACAGCTGCCTGTTCATAATAAGGAAGATGCAGGAAGTTACCATGGTGGTTTCTGTGTAAGGCGGGGGGGCGGGGTTGCACAAAAGAAGGGGAGGTGGTGGCATGGACATAAGGGTGAAGGTGAAAACAGGTGGAAAGCAGGGCTGTGAAACAGAATAGAGAAGTGGTTTCAAAAATAGGGATGGGACACCTTCACCCCGGTATGGCTCCCCTTTATCACATACACAGCCCAACAAGACAACGACAATAATCCACCAACAGCATACAAATCAATATGGCTAACCTGATCCAAAACACCCACCCACCCCACTCACA